AGGATGCTCTATGCTCAAACCCTCGTGTATGAACTTGTCAGGGAATATGCTGATATATTCTCAGACTAGGTGCCGGACGAATTGGCATCTGACAGAGGCATTCATCATGACGTTGACATACTTCCTGGTACAAAGTATATATCACACGGCAGTGGCCGTTCCAAAAGAACAAGCATTGCAATTTACAACTTCTTTGCGCAGCGACAAAAGGCTGGTCATGTGGATAAGAGTAAGTCTCCGCATTGTAGTCCAACCTTCTGTGTGAGAAGCCACAAGTGGCTGGTGCATTGTTTATCTTTTCAATAAAATAAGCGACGCGATCATACCTGCCCAGACTCCGGTTCCACGCAAGGATAAGATTCTTGATAGAGTGGATGGCAGTATGGAATCGATCTGAATTTTTTTTGTATCAGACACGAATGCTCGAGAAATATACACCACTAATTGCAGTCAGTACCCCAGTGGTATGCTGTGAAAATGGTTAGTGATGCCACAAGGTTTGAAGAACGCCCCCGCGACTTTCAACAGAATGGTCATGAATCTTCTTCGTCCATTGAAAGAATTTGCACCGAGTAACTTTGACAATATATTCTTTCATAGTAAGAAAACGGATGAGAAGTGTGATGTCGATTTTTCTCTTGAACATCTTCGTCAGATCTTTCAAATTATGCAAGAGAATAACTCCTACGCTAGTCTGAAAAAGAGCGTTTTCTTTGCACCAGAGATCGGCAATCTTGGCTGCTTTGAGGGTAAGAATGGCGTTCATGTAGATCCGGAGAAAGTCAAAGCTATCAAAAATTGACCTGTGTCAAACAATGGGAAACAGCTGAGAGAATGGTTGGACTTGGTCAAATATTTGCACAGATACACGCGCAACTATGCAGCGTTGGCGCAACCCCTATCGACTCTTAAAGAAGAACGCTGAGTGGGAATGGTTTAACAATCACCAGGCGGTATTTGCCGAAGTACAGAAGAGCTTGAGAGATGCTCCTGTCACGATAAGCCCTTTCATGTGGTCTGTGATGCAAGTGATTATGCCATCGGTTGTGCGTTGATGCAGCTCGATGATGAGGGTCGAATGCGAGTTGTTTCGTGTCAGTTGCGACAACTCCGGCCCGCAGAACGAAGCTATCCAGTTTCAATCGAAGAGCTTCTAACAATGAAGTATGCTTTGGTTAAGCTCCGTGTTCTTGCTTGGAGACGAGCGCTCGCAATCTATACAGATCATACCCCACTGCGTACGGCAGTAAAGACTCCTCATTTATCGCAAATTATCGCTCGATGGTCTTTCTTCTTTGCGGAGTGCAATTTTGTTGTACACTGTACGCCAGGCAGGACGAACATCTTAGCCGATGCGTTGTCAAGACGTCCGGACTATGATTCAAAGTCCAAGATCGAAAATATGCACGAGTCATGAAGATATTCAGGTGATCAGAGTGCAAGCAAAGACTACAGTGCGCGAAGAAATTGTCGAAGGGCACAAGTCTGGCGAGACATGTCAGGACTTGTTGAGGTTTTTCAGTAACCCTTCCGACAAAGCACTGCAAGGTCGTTCGTCTCGCACAAGATCGCGTGTTCACCGTTTTGGGGTACACAACGGATTGTTGTACTATGTGGCTGAACATGGGGATATGGCAAGAGTTGTTGTTCCAGATGACGAAGGTTTGCGTTAACGCCTCTTATATGAGCACCATGACAGCCCTTCGAATGGCCGTTCCGGACGTTAGAAAACGTTTCTTAGTCTGTCTCAGGATTACGATTGGCCACACTAGTATAAGTTGGTGCGCAAGTATGTGAAAAAATGTGAGATTTATGCAAGAGAGTGAAAACATCGGGTTCCACTCAGGCCCCACTTCAGTCGTTGGTAGTGCCAACTGACAGCTGGGTTCTGTGAGTAGAGACTTCATATTCGGACTTCCACGTGACACACATCTTGTGTTAGTGGGCCGATTAAGCAAGATGGTTCATCTTGCGCCTGTTCTGGACAAGATCTCTGCCGAGAAGACAGCTAAAGTCTTTGTCGACGGTGTTTTCCGTCAGCATGGCCTTCCTGTTGAGATCGTGGCTGACCGTGACACCCGTTATACGTCGAAATTTTAGCGTGCACTGTCAGGACAATTGGGCACCATCTTGTGCATATCAACAGCAACACACCCTGAAACGGACGGTCAAACAGAACGTTTGAATCGAGTCTTGGAGAACATACTGCGTAGTTACGCTACGTCGTTTAAGAAATGGAGTGAATTTCTCCCTCTTGCAGAGTTTGCGTTGAACAACTCCACGCATGTTTTGACGGGTCATTCGCCATTTTATGTGAACTATTGTGTTCATCCTATAGTACCTGACGGGTCATTCGCCATTTTGTGTGAACTATTGTGTTCATTTTATAGTACCTGTCCTATAGTACCTTTATCATAAGTTGGAGAGGAGCGATAGCTATAGACCCGCAGTCAGATCTAAATACTGTCACAGAGTTTTAAGCGAATTTTGACTCAATGTGACCTCTAGACGGCATGACAAGTCGCGACGAACAGCACGTCGATGATTTTATTGTGAAGAGACAAGCCGTTGTTCTGTCAGTTCGAGACGCAATTGCGAAAGCTCAGGATCTGCAAAAAAGAACAAGCAGAGAAGAGCAGAAGGAAGAACAAGAATGTATGTAAGGCCAATGATCTTGTACTACTTAACGCTACAAATCTGCCTGACCATGCAGTATCCAACTTGGAAAGCAGGAAGCTTTTACCAATATGTATTGGACCGTTCAAGGTGGTGAAAGCAATGGTGGTGTGTGTGCATTAGCCATCCCTACATGCAGTCCTACATTTTATGTGGGAAGGCTAAATCCATGGATCTGCCGATCCTACTCCTCCATTGGTAGATGATCGAGCTGATCATGAAGTTTCTCCATTTGTCCACGAAGAGTAACCAACTCTTCACCCTGGAGATTCTTCTCGGCGTACAAGCGTTGAACACATCGAAGGATTGCTCCTTCACTGGTTCCAACGAAGGCGAAAATGGTACTCGCTACGCAGTATCTCGAGAACAGAGCTTGCTTCTTCAACAGAGAACAACTGGTGTTTATGAGCCTTCTTACATGAATTCGTGTCCTTGTGGAATCAAACAAAATCATCATGTACCTGTTGAATTCGTAGTTCAAACCGGGACTCCAAAGCCGAGCATTGGTCGGAACCATTAGTCAGAGCGTCGAATTTCAAGTTCTGCTCTGCAATTAGGCTACAAAGGCTTTCGCAGCAATCTTAAAGCGTCGAGCAGCGCTGCTGCAAGCCTCAATTTGCCCATGAGCGCTCTTCCACCTCCAGAGTCGCTCAATCGTTTCACGTTCAACTCACCTCTGCTGTTAGACTCTCGTGGAGAGCATCGTTGGGTGGCTGAGACGATTGTCGATAACGAGGGTCGATCGACTCGTCATCATGGAAAGAAGTAGTTGAAGTATCAAGGCTTTTATCCATCGGACTCGGACACGTGGGAACCTCGACAAGCCTTAGAGTATGATGCCCCCGACGTGATCCGCAGCTACGAGAGTCACCAATATTTTTGCTAGTGACAACACTACGGCGCCCAGAGATTGGATGTGCTCGGTCGCGAGTGGGGGTCCTGTCGGCGCCGACACGGCGAAGCAGACGCTCCATCTTGTTCTCGATCTCAAGGCAAATAACTGCTTACCAAAAGACAAGCTTAGCTACGATGAGCTGGGTCGGATCATAATGATTGTTGATCCAACGCCAACGAAAGAAACTTTCTATGTAAAGCCTCCTGTCTCTATTTCGGTTGAGAACGTAGGATACGCCAAAGAGTTCTGGCGTTTAGGAGTAGAACATTCTTTCATGTTGGCTTGTTCACTGGATCGCTTCATTGTTGATTGAAAAGTGATCTGTTCCAAAAAGGTCTGCAAAAATATCAAGGTACTTTCGACTTTAAGGAGGGGATGATGTACTTATCCTTTACGAGAAAATACCCTCTGCATGCATTGTGGGAGTTGATAAGAGAAGATTACAGTATGTCTCATTTATGGAGTCGCAAACATTCTGTGTGATAAAAAATGCTGGTTCTTACTTGGGGATCTGTACTGGTGACGAGACTAATGTGTCTTTGTCTTTCGAAGTGGGTGGTGTAAGCCAGTCTCTACTTTCCACGAAAGTTGAAGTTCAAGCTTTCGAAGTTCAAGGTCCGTACATTCAAGATCTTGTATCAGTTGCATATCTCAGTTCACCCTTGACTTATAACCAGGAGCCCAAGGTTTGAACAGTAAAACCTCTAGTAGCCCTTGGGGTGTTTTGCATATAGCTAGGAACCATAACTCATTTTAATACAGTTGCAAATTTTCTTGAAGGGCTTAAGTAGTTCTTTTTCTCTCCAAGTCGGGGCTGTCCTTCTCCCTCCACGTCGTAAATCGCTTCATCGTTCGCACAAGCGTGTGTGTTGTGTTTGAGGGACTGTTTGTGAACTGCGCCCTCTTACAGTGGATATGGAAACAATTAGCGAGTTCATCAAAAAGAGTCAAGGTTTCATATGTTCCTCGTCTGATCGCTGATGTGTTATACTGAAAAGAGAAATACACTGATTAGAGTTGACCTTTGATTTTTTAAGGTATTTTGCGGGTGATCGTGTCCTACTGTCCATACAGTACCTTTATTAGTCACTAAAATCCAAACAAGTTATTTTTACGATCTATTTGGTGACTTGAGGCATAAAATTTACATCGGTGGTGACTATAATTTTAATTACCAACGAAGCTAAGCTTGCATCCCATATTTTACGCAAGATACTCGAAGTCAACGAAAAACTGTTTGATAATTTCATTAAGATGCTGACGAATCCGATTCACGTGTCAGCCTTGACAAAGCGCTGAGGCTACCCATCAACACCTTTCTTCCAGTGAGCCGCGAAGTTCTGCTAGGTTGGCGTCAGCATGCCAGGACCGAAACCCCTTCTTCAATGATAAATAATTGTTCAATCAATTGGACACAAATATAACATGGTCAAGCCGCGCTCGAAAAAGCATTAAGTTGTGCCTCCGTGTTGCCATCATAATCCTTTGCATAAATTAACTTCTCTTCAATAGCTAGAAATATCGATCGCTCCGACTGAAAGCGCCATGAAGCCGAGAAGTCCATTTCTTTCATAGTGGGCTTTCGCTATCATCACCGTCGTAGAGCGGTTAACAGCATCGACAATCACGATGATCACATGATGGAGAGCCATAGTGCGAAGACGAAGCGTCGAGGTGTTACGTGCGTGCATTGACTTGCACTCCGACGATTAAGATGCACGGAGTCAGTTACAATACATTGACCAAAAAGCGCTTTGTAACGGGGTTACACGAGCCTTAATAAAAGGGGTGTGTGTCACACGAGATGTGCATAATGTGACCACACACCCAAACAAGAATACGGTACGGGGCTAGGTAGCCAGTAGTTATGCATGTATTTAGATTTTACTATATATATTTAATATATTTAGGAAAATCTCAACGTTTAACATTAGGATAAAAATACAAATAAAAATCAGTTTAAAATTTAAAACGAAGAGTCGATTAACCCTGGGAAGGCAATAATCACTCTTGGAGTAAGCAGATTGCGATCCT